TCTCTCTCCCTCTCTCTCTTTCTTTCTTGAGACAGAGTTTTGCTCTTGTCTCCCAGGCTGGAGTGCAATGGCACAATCTCGGCTCACTGCAACCTCCAACTTCCAGGTTCAAGCAATTATCCTGTCTCAGCCTTCTGAGTAGCTGGGATTACAGGTACTCACCACCATGCCTGGCTAAATTTTGTATTTTTAGTGGAGATGGGGTTTCACCATGTTGGCCAGGTTGGTCTTGAACTCCCGACCTCAGGCGATCCACACACCTTGGCCTCCCAAAGTGCTGAAATTACAGGTGTGAGCCACCGAGTCTGGCCTGTTGGTGCACTTTCAACAGGGTTACTGTTGAAGACCGTTCTGTCATTATCCATCTGAAGATCTTTCAAAAAATTTCTCAAACATCAAGAACCATGATAAATCACTTGTTAATAATATAAGCCATGTATCCAATTTCCATTATTGCTATGTCTTTAAGGAAAATGAGAGACAATTTAACAGTTCAAAGTTCATAACCGTGTCAGACCATATATTCTAAACTTGACCTGGGGTTGACAGTCTCTTCTTCATTTTCTCTGAACTTGGGGCAGAGATCTGAGAAAACAGATGGGCAGAGGTACAGATGGGAGAAGGAAGTGTGCCAGTGTCACCCATGGACACATACATCAGTTACTGCCCATGTACCTTACTCAAAAATTTATTTCTAGAGCTACAACATTAAAATATCATCCCATCATTGCATATTGTACAAAGATTTAAGTGCAAACGTTTTACCATAACATGGTTAATAAAAAAGAAAGATTAGATTATCCAACAGGGTGGTTGTCAAAAAAAGAATTAGAAACATTTAAATATCCAATAATTGTGGATTGCTTAAATATTTTATAAAATATTTAAAGGACATACTGTTCTATTACATTATCATACTATGTGATTTCACAGGCCCTTTAAGTTATCACCAATCCTGGCACCTAACTCCTCATTCTCACTCTTTAATCTGCTCTAAGTGTCAATTGCTACCCAGTGATTCTACTCCCAAAGCCAATACTGAAATCTCAGATTCACTGATTCCCATGCCTTGCTGCCCATGAGCCCTGAATCATTCATCCTACAATTCCTGATCATAGAGCCTTCAATTCCACTACTCTAATGGTCCTGACTCCCTACCAATCAATCCCATGTCCCTATGACTGGGCTCCATGCCTGTATCTCCATCAGACATCCTAAGAGTCCCAATCCTAGGCACACCTGTGCCTGCACTGGGGCCTTAGCACACAAACACATCTCCCACCGCTGACAAAACTAGGCCATAAACTCCTCCACACATGCAAACAGGAACTAAATCAATGAACAAATCTGGGGAAATTATTGAATGTATACAATAAAGTTATAAATAGAAAACACTTCTAAGTGTGAAAAACCAGACTATTCAGAGAAAGAATGAAGGAAATAAGAAAACTCTTCATTGCAGTACTGAAAGCGAAATGATGTCAGAAATACCAACTAAAAGACCACTCTTCTGTCAGGGTGAGAGAGACATTTTCAGAAATAAAAGCACTTGCAGAGAGTATCTCTATCTTTGAGAGAAATACCGAAAGTAGTCCAAATAAATGTAAAATGAATCTCATGAGAAATCTTCAATAGGAAAATACTGTTCACTAATAATTCTTGCAAGATATATATAATTACAAAAAAGGACAATGTGACAATGTGATCAAGAGGCCACTAAAGAAAATTAACAATATCCTATGATAAAATGTTCCTAATCATCTCAGGATAAAACAGAAAAAATGGGGTGCAGAATGGAAACAATAAGCAGAAATTTCATCCATCCAATCAAAATATATAAAGAAAAGGCAGAAAATAAAAACAGCTAAACAGTGAACATCAAATGGAAGGCATACAATCAGATAAATCATTATTACAATAAATAGAGGTAAAATTCTATCAACAGAGACTATAAGTTGGATTCAAAAAAAAAATAAAGGTATCTATTGTAAACAAATAGGTAATGTAATATAGAAACAGATATGGATACAACATAAAGCTCTGGGCAAAGACACATCATCCAAATGCAACAAAAGTAAAAACAAGTGGCCGTGTAAGTATCAACGTGGCATTTTTTAAATATATTCTTTTTTTTTTTTTTTTGAGACAGAGTTTTGCTCTTGTTACCCAGGCTGGAGTGCAATGGCGTGATCTCGGCTCACCACAACCTCCGCCTCCTGGGTTCAGGCAATTCTCCTGCCTCAGCCTCCTGAGTAGCTGTGCTTTTGGTGTCTTTGATCCAAGAAATCATTGCAAAACCCAAATCACAAACCTTTTCCTTTATGCTTTCTTCTAACACCTTTATAGTTTTAAGTCTCATGTTTAGACCTTTGATCCAGTTTGAGTTAGTTTATGTATATATACTACGTATATATCCACATGCAAAGAGTGAGGTTGGGCTCTTATTTATCCTATATATATACACCATATGTATATATATATATAGTATAGTATGTATCATATATAGTATATATATAAAGCATATAATATATATGTATATATAGTGTGTGTATACATATATATAGTATGTAACACATATACATTATATGTTATATGTTTTAAATATATATACAAGTATGTTTTAAAAAGCTCGACATCACTGATTAGAGAAATGCAAATCCAAACCAAATATATTATGTTATATATTATATATGCATTAGCTAGAATATATTAATCAGCTATAATATATATTATATATTATTATATATAATGGCATTATATCATTATTATATATCCAAAAGAATATAAATCATTCTATTACAAAAATACATGCACGTGTATGTTCACTGCAGCACTGCTCACAACAGCAAAGACATGGAATCAACCCAAATGCTCATCAATAGTATACTGAATAAAGAAAATGTGGGGTATATATACACCATGAAGCACCATGCAGCCATGAAAATGAATCAGATTATGTCTTTTTCAGACACGTAGATGAAGCTGGAAGCCACTATCCTCAGCACACTAACATAGGGACACAAAAGCAAATGTTACACGTTCTTATAAGTGGGAGCTGAACAACGAGACCATGTGGACAGGGAGAACAACACACACTGGCACTTGTTGGGGGAGGGCAGAGGTAGGGAGAGCATCAGGAAAAATGGCTAATGCATGCTGAGTTTAGTACCTAGGTGATGGGATGACAGATGCAGCAAACTACCATGGTGCACATTTACCTGTGTAAGAAAACTGCCTGTCCTGCACATGTACCCCAGAACTATAAAGAAAATAAACACACAAACAAAATTTTTAAAAATTATCTTAATTGTATGTGGGTAGGTCCCTTTGAAAGTCAAATGGAAACAATTAAAAAAAAACCTTACTATTCAAAATTTACAAAACTAAATAAGAGTAAAACAAATTTACATTTTGTCCCTGGATTGATATAAGACAAAAACGTTGTGTGGGAAAGCTGGAGTTGAGGACGAATGAGATTCTGAGAATAAAAATCCCTGGTACATAGTCAAAGTTTCAAAGTCAACTTCAGATTTTCAAGGCTTATAAAATAGATAACCTCATACCACCGTCTCCAACAGATAAAAGAAACCAAATAATATCTGTGTTCCAGGAAGAAAGAATCGAAAATTGGCTGAGTTCTCTCACTGACAAAACTTAGCGGGAAGGAGGAATCTGGAAGGTGGGAGGGTGAAGGGATCCCAGACTTGTGGGGTGGGGAGGGGTTGTGCTGCAGCCTCCCCCGCTCACTGCTCCTCCCCCATCATGGGGCCTTTGTGATGTGAAGGCCCCAGCTCTGTGATGCAGGCCTAGGCCCCACTCCCTAGTCTGCAAGGGAATGCCAAGAGCTCAGTTGCTCGAAGGCAGCATACCTATTCAGATGGCAAATATTCCATTTCCTCTAAAATTTCTTAGTGATTTGTGGATAAACAATATTAGCCCCCTGCCTCTCTTACTTCCATCGTGATCCACCCTCACCATCACCCGGGAAGAAGAGAATGGTAAGGAGCCCTCAGGCCGGACCCACACAGCACAATTCTCTCCTTTCTTTCTATTATTAGCTCTACTTTTCCAAATCCAGTGGAAAGACTTCCGCAATGGGAAGTGTCAGGAGAGACCAGAACATGGTCCTTCCAAGGAGAGGCAGAGCAGCCAGGGGTTGTTGGTAGAAACTGGGATTTCCATCCCAAGCTCTAAGTCCATCTGTGGGGGAGCACAGGAGGCATCAGGGCAAAACCAAACCCCCGGACTCAGTGGTGAGGACCAGTCAGGACATGGGGGAGGTCTTTGTGGGAGGGTGCTCATAAGCCACTTTTTGGGGCAGGTGGCTGGGGGCCCAGCCTCATCTGTGTGGGGTAATCTGGGGGCTGTGCTGAGCCTTTGAGGGCCTCTCTACCTGGGCCTGGAGTCGCCTCTGATCTCCTGAGAAGCAGAATCCTAACTGACAGCTCAGGTGTGCCAGCAGGCATGAGCCTGGGTGTTCATCGAGTAGAGGAGTACCTCTATGGTTACTTTTATTATATTATATATTATACATTATGTATATTATAGTTTATATATGAAATATATATTATATATATATATTATTTCTCATATAGTAAATCCCTCTTTGTGGTGGGTTTTATTGTTTGTTTTTTGAGACGGAGTCGCACTCTTGTCACCCTGGCTGGAGTGCAATGGTGATCTTGGCTCACTGCAGCCTCTGCTTCCCAGGTTGAAGCAGTTCTCCTGCCTCAGCCTCTGGAGTAGCTGGGATTACAGGCATGAGCCACCATGCCCGGCTAATTTCTGTTATTTTTAGTAGAGACAGAGTTTCACTATGCTGGCGAGGCTGGTCTCAAACTTCTGATCTCAGGTGATCCACCCCTCTTGGCTTCCCCAAACGCTCAAATTACAGGCGTGAGCCACCGCTTCTGGCCCCCTCTTCATGTTTTTCTAAGAAGAAAAGCAGTTTATCATCCACTTAAACATGAGTGGGAGGAAGCACACGGCTCCCTGAGCAAGACGAGAGAGCTCTGTGGTTCATGAGCGCCGCAGCTGGACTGGGGGTGGAGAGCGAGAGCTGGTCTCAGCCCCTCACCCTTTCTTGTCTCCCAGGGTCACCTTCTCTCTCAGGTCAGCAGAGGGGGAGGCCCAAAGGTGGAAGAAAAACTGCAGTCTGAAAGGTAAGGCTCTGCTGGGGCACACTAGAGTTCATTTGATCTTGTCTGTCCCTGGAGAGAAGCGACTCTGTCTGAGGAAGTCAGTTGAAGAAGCTTCTTCACAACTGCAGAAGAAAATCAGAACCCTGGGTCCCTCTCAGATTCCGTGCTGGCATGAAACCATGGTGGGCCAAGGACTGGGTGTTCCTCAGCAGGGCACAGTGTAGGGGGAGGAGACCAATGCCTGTCTGAATCAGGAGGGGGATGAGGGGGCTGTGGACAGCTGTTCAACTCTGCTAAGGCTGATTCCTCTTTGAGGCCACCCGTCCTTTCTCCCCACAGGGCAGGTGTGAGAACTATGGGGATGGGGGGGGTCTGTGTGTATAAGCCCTTTGTGGACACCAAAGCCTTGCCTGCTGTGCCTCACTATCACCGTCCAGACAATGTGGCCTTGGACACAGACATGTGGTTTCCAGGGTCGGACTCCCCATGGTCTTCCCTCAAGAAACATCCACTCAGCCTCCTGTGAGATCCCAGGCCCCTCCCTCACTGCCCTAACCCAGTCTCCTGATTTCCAGCTTCCAGAGACCTCCTGACAGGCCTGGAGGGGATTCTGGACTTGCTTTCACAACTGCAGCGGTGAGGCACTTCCCCTTCCCTACATCCTTCTTACCAGGCTGGGATTTGACCCCAGGGCCTTACGGCAGCCTGGAGCTGACCTGGGATGGGGAGGCCAGGGGGATAGAGGATGAAAGTAAAACCCTGGAGCAAGGGGTAGGAGAAGAATTGGGGAGTCTGGGTGCAGCGCGGTGGAGGGGCATAGAAGGAGAATTGGGAAGTCTGGGTGTGGGGCGGTAGAGGCACATAGGAGGAGAATCGGGGGGTCTGGGTGTGGGGCGGTGGCGGCGCATAGGAGGAGAATTGGGCATTCAGCATGTGGGGTGGTGGAGGGGCATGGGAGAATTGGGGAGTCAGGGTGTGGGGCGGTGGAAGGGCACAGGGGGAGAATTGGGGGATCAGGGTGTAGGGTGGTTGAGGGGCATAGGAGAATTGGGGGGTCTGGGTGTAGGGTGGTTGAGGGGCATAGGAGAATTGGGGGGTCTGGGTGTGGGGCAGTGGAGGGGCATAGGAGAATTAGGGGGTCTGGGTGTGGGGTGGTAAAGGGGCATAGGAGAATTGGGGAGTCTGAGTGTGGGGTGGTGGAGGGGCATAAGAGAATTGGGGGGTCTGGGTGTGGGGCGGTGGAAGGGCATAGGAGAATTGAGGAGTCTGGGTGTGGGGCAGTGGAGGGGCATAGGAGAATTGGGCAGTCAGGATGTGGGGCAGTGGAGGAGCACAGGAGAATTGGGCAGTCAGGATGTGGGGTGGTGGAGGGGCATAGGAGAATTGGGGGGTCTGGGTGTGGGGCAGTAAAGAAGCATAGGAGGAAAATTGAGGAGTCTGGGTATGGGGTGGTGGAGGGGCACAGGAGAATTGGGCAGTCAGGATGTGGGGCGGTGGAGGGGCATAGGAGAATTGGGGGCTGGGTGTGGGGCAGTGGAGGGGCATAGAATTGGGGGGTCAGGGTGTGGGGCAGTGGAGGGGCATAGGAGAATGGGGGGTCTGGGTGTGGGGCGGTGGAGGGGCTGGGGCCCACACACCAACTCTGCCCTATGGCCCTACCTGCTCCTGGCTGCAGCTTGTGCCTCCTGTCTCCTGCAGCATCCTGGGGCTGCATCCTGAGAAAGGCGACTTTGGTCAGCTCTCTGGTCCAGATCCCCCAGGTGAGGAGTGCAAAAGAGCACCTGATGGAGCCTCCCAGTCCCCTCAGGAGCAGATGGAAGATGCCGCTCCCGTGCTTTCCCCATTAGCTTCCCCGGATCCTCAAACCCAGCATCCTTTGCCTCTGGTCTCCACCCCATCACCAGGCCCAATGGCCACTGCAGTCTCCCTTCTGAGTGCCTCCCAACCACCAGAGCCTTCCCTTCCCCTGGAACACCCCTCACCCGAGCCACTTGCACTTTTCCCTAACCCACCACACACCCCTGATCCTCTGGCCTGCTCTCCATCTCCTCTGAAAGGCTTCATTGCTCCTCCCCTTCGGGACTCCACTCTGATGACTCCATCTCACTGTAACTCAGTGGTGCTTCCACTGTGCACCATCCATCAAAGCTCATCTCCGTGTGAGAATTCGGCAACTTCTGGCCCAGCCATCTCAAGCCTTGGCGGCTCAAGCAGTCATGCCTCTGTGCCTGCATTCTGGTGTCAGGAAACTACCAGAACCAGGCACATCTCCAACCCATCGGTCCAGCAAGATCCTCTTTCCAGCCACCCACCAGAAACATTGTCCTCAGGAGACCCCACAACAGTCAGATGGAAGCTGGAAGCCCCTTTTTGCTCAGCTCTGATAGCCAGAATGTTGTGGGAATACAAGTCACAGAAAGAGCCAGGATCAACATTCCGGAGGAAAAAGAAAAAGATGGATCATTTCCAAAACAAACGAACACAGAAAAGCACTTGAATTCTTTGGGGAATTTGGTGAAATCATTGAATGCTGAGCAGGACACCACAACCCTAAAACCCATCTGGGACATGGAAGACTTGAAACAATCATCCAGTCCTCAGAAGCTCTCAGATCCTGGAATCCTGAAGGAACATTTTCAGAAGAATTATAGTCAGCTTTTCTGGGGCCTCCCCCTCTCAGCACAGCGAATCCTTGGAGGCTAGTGCCTGGGTGTCTGAGAGATCTTATACTTTGCAGTTTCCACCTTTCTTGTTCAATGGCATTCCCAATGTCTGCCCAGTTCAAACAGAGACTGCAATGTCTCCACTGCTTTACCAGGCCCAGCACCTGTCCCATCTGAGGCCTGAGTCCCAACGCTTTATTTCACCCACATCCCAATTCCAGCTCTCACACATGGCTCAGATGGAGGTTCAAGCCCGTCTTCAATCCTCTTTCCCAGTCCAATCTCCTGCTTTTGCATTCCAGATTAATAATTCTGGAGTAGCTTGCCCTGCATTACAGCATAAGACGCAAGCTCTCACCTGTAGTGTTCGTGCCAAGGGCTCAGGACAGCTAGTTGACTCGCCTCAGTTTGGCTGCTGGACCTGGCTGCATTTCCCCACCTCGAGGGCTGTCGAGTGAGACAAAGGGCCGCGAGCTGAGTCACTGAAGCAACAACAGAATGCAAGGCAAAATGAGGACATTGTGGTGTCTGCTTCCATGTCCCCATCAGTCTCTGTGTAAGCAATAAACTTGCTGCAATTGAGATCCCTAAGAGGAGCAGAGACCTCTGCCCATATTTTCCCTGGAGCTAAGCCTTTGTTTTAGCTCCTGATGAAAAACAGGTTTAAGGGTGCCATTGTATCTTTGAAATATAAACTACTATCACAAGCCCCCTTAAACTGCTTTCTGAGCAGATATCACAAGCCCCTGATAACTATTTTTTATGGAGTTTCTATTTCCTTTCTGTTTACCCCTTTCTTTCTACTGAGATAAAGTAAATGTAAACAAGAAATGAGGTATAAAAGCTGTAACCCACAAAAATAAATTTGCTGCGTTTTGACAATAATTTTCACTCAGCCTTCCAGACTCCACTTTCCTGTATTCTTTCACTTCCGTGCACTCTCTCTCTCAGGTTGAACGAGACATCTACGTTGGTGGTCTTGGGGACACCTTGCCGTGAGCATCGTGCCTCTAACATAAATCAGCACAAACAGGAGTTCCAAGCCCCAGTCTGTGGGCTTCCCTGCAACCGCAGGCACCTCTTCCACCCGGAACACAGCAGAATGCTGGGCTATGCAGCCAGCAGTCAACAAGCCACTCTCAAGAGCCAGAGTTACCCCAACAGAAAGAAGCATATCCGAGATCAACAGTCCTTGAAAAGTGTCCGGCGCCACAATGACCAACGGGGCCAGGACAGCCCCAACTCTTGCTCCCCAATTAGGCTGTCTCACAGAAGGTCAAGTAGTCTTCTGTAAAGACACAGAACTTTTAATATTCTAAAATAAATAAATATCTCCTTTTCTCCCCCCATAAAAAAATAATGGCTTTTATTTGTGTCGTGCTTGGTGTGGGCTTGTTTTCTAGAAGTGACAGGACATGGAGGGATTCTGAGAGTAGTGGTGTAAGCCCACCTTCATCCTGAGTTCCTTCACTGAAACTTAGGTTTCCATAATACTGTCTTTACACAAACAACAAAAAATTCTAAAAACAAGATGAGAACACCTATGAAGATCCCACTCAGAGATGTGGTTCAACCCATCTTTCTACTACTTACTCTACCTCAAACTTTATGCAGCTGTAGGAAGAAGGTTTGCAGAGATGTCATAGGACTGAATATCTCCATGCAGGCTCCAGGAACTGCCATGGTCAAGTAGCTTCATGTGTCACAAAATAGTGGAAGCTCAAGTGAAAGAGTGTGGGCCCTGAGTTCAGAAGCCAGGGATGTCTGGACCCTGGACATCCTGGGGGAGAGTAGGTCAGGCATGTTGCCTGCCCTTGGAAAGCCCCTTCTTTCCCTCACAAAGGCAGGGATGAAGATGGGCCCTCTTAGCTCAGCCTACATACAAAGCACAGAGTCCCCATCTGACTGCCTCTCCCTTTCTTGCACTCTAAATTGGGGGTGGGGACAGACCTTCCAGCACTGTGGATGTAAAAGTGGATGGTGGGGGGAGGCCTTCACGGAGGCTGCTGAGGACCGTGAGCTCCCCTGCCCAAAATGAGTGAATGACCCTGCTCCTGGGTCACTTGCCTTGATCTGTCTCACCTATGTGTGTCTCAGCTTCAGAGAAGTAGTTCTGGGTGAATTGGGCAGGGCATGTCTGTGTGTGCAGAGGTTTCCGATGGTGGGACTCTGTAGAACTACAGCGGGATGCAGACAAAGAATTGAGAAAAAGGCAAAGTGGTGTGAGGGCTCCATAAGCGGTGCCATGACCTGGGAGCTTCTGACATTCCAACCCCTTCCACAGGCATAGAGGGCCTATGGCTCATCCTGGCCCCACCCCAGGGTCTGTCCCTCTTCCAGCTTCCAGACCACAGACCTAAAAATGCATTTGCCCCCAACACAGAGGGCCAGACCAGTGAGAAGGCAAAGTGAATAAGGGAAGATGAATTTCTTAACATCTTTAATAAACTTGCATGTAGTAACCTACTGAATTTTTTTTTTTTTGAGTCAGAGACAGAGTTTCACTCTTTTTCCCAGGCTGGAGTACAGTGGTATAATCTCGGTTCACTGCAACCTCCAGCCCCTGGGTTCAAGTGATTCTCCTGCCTCAATTTTCCAAGTGGCTGAGATTATGGGCACCCACCACCACACCTGGCTGATTTTTTACATTTTTAATAGAGATGGGGTTTTGCCATAGTGGCCAGGCTGGTCTCAAACTCCTGACCTCTGGTGATCTACCAGCCTTGGCCTCCCAAAGTGCAAGAATTACAGGCATGAGCCACTGCACCTGGACTACCTATTGAATTTTTAAAAGGATGTGTTGACGATAGGTGAAAAAGCAAGGACTAGAGAACCCCAGGCATGACTCGGGAGTCTGGTGACCTTTAACATACACGTAGCCCCAGGACTGCCCCCAGGGGAGAGGTGGTGAAATAGAAGGACCCCAGCAGCTGAGATGGGGTCACACAGCAAATCTCCCCTGGCTCCTGAGGTCCTTTCTTGCCCCACAGACCAGCAGGGGAAGAGGCAGGCAGGCAGGCAGGCAGGATTTGAACACACATGGCAGCTGGAAGTGACCTGTCCAGAATGGGAAGAGCGTGGGCAGGGCAGGAGCCATCCCTGCTCTGTCTCCCTCTGCTTTCAGCACAGCTTCCTCCTTTCTGGGCCCTATCCGTATGGGAAAGCAGGAGGTTCCCAGAAATCAGCGAGAGGAGTGTGAGGTCTTTAGAGGGGGTTTCTGTGCCTTGTGCACATACAGATGCACAGGAGGCCCAGTTCTGGGGGCCTCTTTTCCATGGTGGAGAGGACCGTGCCAGGCAGTGCCACTGATTTACATAAAAATGGAAATGGTCCTGCCCCCAGCATGTGGCCTGTCCTAGGGCCAGGTCTGTCTGGGGCCCAGATGACTGAGGCAGCCTCCAAGGTGGACCCAGCAGTGACAGCAGAACCAGGACCAGCAGGAGGGGCTGGGACCTGGAGCAGAGATCAGCTCCGGTCCCCCTGGAAAGCTCAGGAGAGAGAGTCACAAAGCTGGGACCCTGACTGCTGAGGATGGGCCATGCCTGGCTGCTGCTGGGTTCCCTCAGGAAACCGACAGGAGATTTCTGGGATGTGGAAGAGCTGGACATTTAAACCCCACGGCTCAGGCCAAGAGAAGCACCACAGGAAATGCTGGCCGACCAACAAGAACAGAGGAAGGCACAAGCAAGCCCTTACCCCTCCACTACTCAGTCTCCCATAGGGTGCAGCGAGGCTAGCAGTAGAGACCACAAAGACCTCCCACAGAAACCTCACAGAGACATCTCATACAGAGAGCCCACCGGGACCACTCACTGCCACAGAGAGACACACTGCGGCCTCCAGAGACCCCACAGAGCTCTCAGAGACCTCATGGTGCCCCACAGAGACACAGCACTGAGATTCCCAGAGTCCTCACACAGACCCCTTCAGAGAACCCCACAGAGACCACACTGAGAGACTTCATTCAGTCCCACAGAGACCTCCTGCAAATTTCAGAGATCTTCCTTGGTTCTCACACAGAGGCCTCACACCTGATGAAGGCCTCAGAGACTTTACACAGAATCATAAAACAGGGAACTCATGCAAAGACTCATGCAGCTCACCTCGTGATCTGCCTGCCTCAGCCTCCCAAAGTGCTGCGATTACAGGCATGAGTCACCACGCCCAGCCTCTCTTTTAAGTTGGAGTCTTGCTCTTTCACTCGGGCTGGAATGCAGTGGCATGATCTCAGCTCACTGCAATCTCCAACTCCCAGGTTCAAGTCATTTTCCTGCCTCAGCCTCCCTGGTAGCTGGGATACAGGTATGCACCACCACATGGGCCAAGCTAATTTTTGGTATTTTTAATAGAGACGGGTTTTTACCATGTTGGCCAGGCTGGTCTCAAACTCCTGACCTCAAGTGATTCACCCGGCTTGTTCTCCCAAGGTATTGAGATTATAGGCATGAACCACCGCACCCAGACTGGTCCTGTAATTCTCTCTGGGCACCCTGGCTCTGTGAGCTGGAGGAGGGCAGGTGGGGCCAGGCCCTGAGCAGCCCCTGATAGGTGTTGAGTGAATGAGTAGGGGTGGGGAGGGGAGGCTGGGGAAGGCACCCAGAATGTGTTCCTCCCATCCCCCAGCCTTGTCAGGCCTCCATGTCCTGCTGAGCTCTTGCATGGTGGTCTTTTCCCACTTACAGCTCACTGCCTTGGACTAGGTCTCAGCCGACTGCCCGGCAGAAGTGTCCTCTCTGTTCTTACCCAGTATGACCTAGATGGGAGACAATAAGCACATGGAATGAGCATAGCCCTGAGGGGTCAAAAGTGTGTGAGGAAGAAAGGGAGGGAAGGAGGGAAGAAAGGAGGCACTGGAGGGAAGGAGGGAGGCAGGAAGGAAGGAAGGAGGGAAGGAGGGAGGGAGGGAGGGTGGGAGGGCAGAAACAATGAATGACTGCACATACAAAGGAATGAGTGAATGAATGCCCAAACCAAGAAATGAGTGAATGAATGCACACACAAAGGAATGAATGAATACACACACCAAAGAATGAATGAATGAATGAATGCACACAAATGAATTAATGCACACAAAGGAAAGAGCCAATGTATGAACATGCCACTTGTGGGGCTTGAAGAGGCCTGAAGAGACCCCCCAGTTGAGGGGGCCCCACGTTGTATCCTTGCTGCTGAGAAATCTGGACATGCCAGTGCATGGGAGAAGGGCTTGGGCTTGGAATGAATTGGTTCACAGGCAACTCATCAAGTGTCACAAGTAACCCTGAGCAGCAGGCTTCCCCTCCCGAGCCTTAGCCCCACCAGATGTAACATGGATTAGAAGAGCGACCTCATGGAGGTTTTCTGAAAATCCAGTAGGTGAAACTTGGTGGTTCATGCCTGTAATCGCAGCATTTTGGGAGGCCAAGGTGATTAGATCACTTGAGCCCAGGAGTTTGAGACTAGCCTTGGAAACAGTGAGACCCTGTTTTTGTTAAAAAAAAAAAAAAAAAAGAAAATTCAATGGGGTGCTGGGCGTGCCAGTTCTAGAGCTGTGCCATTTGTTTATTTGGTTCAACCCAAGCCACTTGAAACAACTAAGTCCCCCCCCCGCCAGTGGGCCAGGCCTCTCAGTGTCACTCTGGCTGAGGGTGTGTGTGTCTCTCCTTCCTTTAACTGTCCTCATTCTTTCCATCACGTGTGTGTGTGTGTGGTCTTTTCTCTCTCATACACACACACCTGTTGAATTTGCATGCTCTGACACACAGACACAGTCACACTTCCTTTGAAAAAATTTTTATTTTTAGAGGCACAATTTTCCTCTGTCTCCCAGGCTGGAGTGCAACGGCACAATCACAGATACTGCGGCCTTGAACTCCTACGCTCAAGCGATCCTCCTGACTCAGCCTCCTGAGGAGCTGGGACAGCAGGCATGCATCCCCATGCCTAGCTAATTTTTTTTTTTTTTTTTGGTAGAGGTGGGGTCTTTCTATGCTGCCTAGGCTTGTATACGCCTGCTTCTGTATGTATGTATGCATGTATGTATGTATCCTCTTTTTCGAAAATGATTTCATTGAATCGTTCTTTAAGCACAAACTTTTCTGAAGCTCTGGGGACACCTGGAAGAGGAAGGGAGGGTTCTGAATATCCCCTAGGATCACATTGGCCCTGGGTGTAGGACAAGGCCAGGCAGGAGAAACAGACCCTGCTGAGGGGTCTCCTCTTTGCCTCCTCCCTGGGTCCCAGCTGCATGGTCTCCTTGGTTCACTGCCGGCCAGGGTCAGGCAGTGCATGGCCAAGCCCACTGCTATGTCATCATTCCAGGGGGAAGGGGCTTGAAGGCTGCATCATGGGGTGATGTAA